GATATCCACCTCTCGGGTATACTTCATTGTGTTTCTTTTGACAAATCCTTCAAAATGAGGGGTCACTCAATAGAAGTTCCTATTTGAAAAAAAATAATTCACTCCCTACCCCCTCCCCTGTTAGGGGGGGGGGGGGTAAAAATATTTTTGATGTAAAAAATTGTGGGAACCTTTGTTAACAATTATTGCCACAAACAGAATATTTCTATCTATTTAGGTTTTAAAAATACAGATTTGTTTCAAAACTTAATTTACACACTGTATATATTTTCCATACTGCACATTTTTACTTTCTCCCCCTATACCATAGTATATGGAGAAAGTATTGTTTTCATCAAAATTTTCGAGTTTGAGTTTTGAGTGGATATATTTGTTTTGGGTCCCCCTGGACCCAAAAAAGTGGTTTTCGAAGTGATGTCTGTGTGTGTGGGTGTGTGTGTGTGTGTGTGTCTGTGTGTCTGGATGTGTACAGAGCTAGAGACCACACCTGTGGTCCGATTTCGATGAAATTTGGTATGTAGGTTCTAATCCATGGTATCTCCAGGCGTTTTTTTCATTTTTTTGAAATTTTTATTTTTAATGGGGATTTTCCCATAAAAACCCATAAAAAACCGGAAAAATCGGATTTTCTCGAAAATGGCCCGAACGATTTTAATAAAAATTTAGTATGTTGTAGCCCTTTAAATTCGGAATAAAATGGTACAAATCCCATATCTGTAAAAATTACGGTTCAAAAGTTATGGTCAAATATGTTATTTTCCCATAAAACCCCATAAAATAACAAAAAATAGGATTTTTGAAAAAAATCCGGTTTTGATTTAACATAGTATGTATTTATGTATTTACAGTTTTGATAGTTTTTTTTAATTTTTTAGAAATTTTTATTTTTAATGGGGATTTTCCCATAAAACCTCATAAAATAACGGAAAAATATGATTTTCCCAAAAATGGCCCAAACGATTTTGATAAAAAATTAGTATGTTATAGTCCTTTATATTCTGAACAAAATGGTACAAATCCCATTTCTGTAAAAGCTACGGTTCAAAAGTTATTGTAAATTATGTAATTTCCCCATAAAATAACAGAAAAATCAGATTTTCCAAAAAATGGCCCAACGATTTTGATAAAAATTTAGCATGTTATAGTCCTTTAAATTGTGAACAAAATTGTACAAATCCCATTTGCGTATATTTACTCTCACCACTTACATATGATAAAGGTTTTTGACAAACTTATGGGAGAAAGTATGTGTCAGAATGCTGATACCGTTTATTACTACTGTATAAGGAATTAGTTGAATTGACTTCTGAGTGTGTCATCTATTATGGAGAATACATTTTCAGGTACCTGTAGTATGATGTTGTTTTATTTGGATGGAAGGGAAATAACGCTTAATTTATATTAAACCTAATAAGAGTCCTTGTTGACTTAGAGCTGGCCTCAAATTTAAGGATTGTTGGTTCTATCTGCAGAGTATTAATTTAAAGGCTGATTTTTTGTTTTGCCCTCTAGCACTGGGGTTAGACATTAGAAACAGTAAGAAAACTAGAATATTAAAAATGAAATAAATTAAATAGTGGACAAGCATCTTGTTTGTGAAATCTTAGAGAAATTCAACTAGCGCGCAGGTCGTTTTCTAAGCGGCCGAACTATAGTAGATATTTAATGCAAGAGGAATTGGAAACATTTAAAAGAAAATTAGCTAAAAGTGAGGTGAGCAATGTAATGGAAGGAAAGAAGTAATTTGGAATTCATCAAACCAAAAGTTTCGTATTTAGAAACATTCAGAAGTAAAGCCTACAGTGGTATTTTCTTCACTAACATCTGAATGAAAATGGGGGATGAAAGACATTAAAGTAAATACTAATTTACTTTGGCAACAAGTAAACAAGCAAATAGTTTGGTTTAAAAAATGTTCGATGTTACTTATTTTAATCAGCTTTATATAGTCAATGGTATAATTAACAGAAAATGAGAAATAATAGGCCTAAACAAATCTAAGTAAACATTATTAATTTTCTTTTTGTCGTCAGAGAAACTAATCTATATTGAAAATGTAAAAAATTATCTCATAATTAAAAACAAGAGTGAAAATATTGTAATTTTCATCCATTCCTATGAAAACCAATCAATAACAATATGAGCCTAACTAAGTAACTTTAACATCATAATTGCGGGTCGACATGAAACATTAAACATGGAAGCTGCATTTATTTCAATGTTGTTATTCCCTGTCATATCAACACTCAAACGAGCAATTCTGTGTTCAAAGATCATAATGAGACAGAAACAGCACCATATTGGTGTGGAACTATAATATTCCTCTAAGTTGCATTGCTGGTCCATGAACCATGAAGAATAAAGATAAATGTACAAACATACGATTAAGTTCATATATTAAAATTGAAACAACTCGATATAATGTTTCAGTGGGATTAATTTGCAATATTTATCTAGCACTTGAGCTCTCCACCAATATAATATTCTTGTTTGTTTATCATACACTCAATATACTGACATAGGAGTTTGAAATAAACTGAATCGATATTAAAAGTAGACTATGTTATTAAATACCAGTACATCAGATAATGAACGTGTTTTTATTGTACAAGTTTAAAAAAAACTCTCAGCAGTCTTGTTTTCAAGAATACTAACATTCATTGTAATTGGATTGAACACTCAATAGCACCTTATTTTGTGAGTTTTGGACGTCTCAATTGTTGTTGGTGTTTAAGTTGTGTTCATTCAAAGCATTTTTTGTCAGCGAATACTTCCGAGGGTCACTTGGTTCAACACTAAAACAAGAATGTAGCTTGTTGGTTATTCCGTTATTCAAAACTAGATATAGATGTCCTTGATAGTTTGGATCCTGACTAAAGACACATCTCTTGACAAAGCTACAAGAACCATCTCTCTCTTAATCACCCTGCATTCAATTTTTTTTTTAATATTTACTCTAAGTGTGTCGCTAGCTGTGATAAGTGATCAATGAACAGTTTTTATTCAACCAATGTTATGTAATACAGTAGGTTGTTGTGTAGGTTGTACAGGTAGTTTACTTGGTTTGAGATATTACTTTATTTTTCAAAATGAAAGAAAATTAACTAGAATAAGGAAGAGCATCAAGTGAGGAATTGAAGATAAGGAGTAAACAGTAGAAGAGAAATAGATTGGATTGGAAGTGTATGCTAGAACTGCAGTACACATTTTCACTCCTATTAAGGAGGATAGAGTAAAAAAAGAGATTAAAAATGGAATCGATACAAGTCTTAATGATTCCAGTATCCAAAGCAATAAGGTAAATTGCCTGAATTATTTAGTGCATCTTTCTTTGCTAGATAGCAACTACAAGTTCAAACCAATAATTTACTAGACCAATCCAGGATAGTGTTATTCACCAACAAACATGATACCCTTCACATCCTTTGTCACGGTATTAGACAATCTACCCATTTCTGTCACGAAAATCGGAGGGGGTTCTAAAAGCAAATTTGAGAAATGGTTTTTCAAATTATGTCTTACTTGTTCTGCAATAGCCTTGTTCGAGTCTTATCTGGTGTTGGACATAATCTCCTTTGTGAGTATGGTTTCAAGTATTATCGGGATGTTAGCAAGGTTATGTTCCTTGAAGTATGTCTCAAAAGAGGAAAATCGTGTGACCCTAATAGACATTGGTCGGATTGATGAAATGTTTTTGGGTTTCCAACCTAAAACCGACTACAAAGCTTTTATTTCTGCAATGTTTTACATGTGGTTGGCACTGCAGAATTTCTTCATTTGCTTCTTCATCATCGGATTTGAGGTAAAAGTTGTAGAAGATTGTTTTTGTACAGTTCTAGCTTACAGTCTAATCTACCAACTGGCAGTGCTAAAATGCTTTGTGGCTAAAAGACTTGATTGTGTTAAAATCAAAGCGAGTTCAGAGTCGATTAACATCTCCTATTTTCATAGGTTGCTCGAAATAAATGAAAAAATGGACAATTTCTACTCTTTGATCGTAACAGTGGTGATGATTAAAAACTTCATTGATGTTTCAAAGTTCATGGCTCATATCTGGCAGGACTTGGGACTCCGATCAAACATGTTCAGATCTGGCCTAGAAATCTGCATTATGCTTCATGTCGCGATAGAAAACATGGGTTTCCTTTGGGTAGTGCACTGTTGTTCGTCTGTGAACGAGAAAATGGAATATATAAAGACTGAACTTGATCGAGAGATAAGTTGTTCACGCTTACCACTATCACAGAAACAACAAATGCAGGTCTTTATGCAGGAATTAGACCTCATGCCACAAACCTTTGACTGTTATGGATTATTTGACTTTGACTGTAGTTCGGTAACTGAGATGTTTGTTTTGTTTGTAACAGTTGGAATGGTATTCATCCAGTTTATGCGATTTAACGCCAGTGTGTTAAGTGATATATTGGAACCTCAATAACAATGCCCTTAATGATAGTCATTATCAAAAATCCTGGATTTAATATAACTCTTAATTACATGTTATTGTAACCCCTCATAGAAAGTCAACCTTATAGCAAGTATTACATTTTGATAATCCCCATGAGAGAATTGTTATTAAAGTTGCGCTGTATAAGACATTAAATCTGTTTAGTGGAAAAGATAAAAATTTTAACATGTTTTTAAAACTTGTCTGTATATATAAGAGGATTTAAAAATGAAGCCTAGTCCTCTATCAGACACAAACTGAATCCTACAGTGAAGAGTTAGCGTTGAAGGCAGAGTTCTATAGGTAGGGATAGAGTTGGAGATAGAGATAAGGGTTAGAGTTGGAGGGAGAGATAGGGGAAGAGTTGGAGGAGGTAGAAGTAAGGGTTAAAGTTGAAGGTAGAGTTTGAGGTAGGGATAGGGGTAGAGGTAAAGGTTAGCATTGGAGGTAGGGATAGAGGTAGATGTATGTGTATAATGCTTATAAAAACTGAGTAAGATGAACCAGGAGTACAAATAAATAAAACATAGGGTTTTAGAAAACATATTTATATACATGTTGAAAACAAAATTTGCTTACATAAAATAATGGACTCAAGAAACAGGGAAGTCCCTAAGGATACAAAATTATTATTTCTTGATTTCTTGTAAAAATTTGACATTGACTCCTAGCTTTGCTAATAAAATATTTCAAGCCCCAACTTAAATCATAAATAATATGTTTGATAAAAAACTAAACTTTGCTGGAGTTTCAAAATCAATATAATTAGGAAAAGATACTAGGCAATAATGGTAATAAAAAATAATTTAAGATAAGATAAAAAATTTAAATTTCATGGTATGCTATGGAGAGATATCAACTTATTGGCTCTATTAAAATGAGTTCATGAAAGTATTAATTTAACTACTCCCTGATGATATTTTGGAGTTTGTTTGAAACTTTATTTAGAATTTTGTTTGTTTATGGATTTACTTCAAATGCAGCAGGGACTATTATACCTTGTTAATTAACCCCCATATAAATCAATTTCCGGCTTAACAATGTAGTTCATTTGGTTTATATGTAATCATTTTCCTCAATAGCAATAAAGTTGATAGAAAGTTCAAGAACTTCTTTCAATCGGTAATTAATTTGTATAAGTTAAAATTGGTCCGTACACATCAATCTAAATAAAACACAGAGAAATAAGATACAGAGGAAACATTCAATGGTACAATAAGGTGGTGTCTAGCGCTAGTGCTCGTATCTAAGGCCTCATGACCTCATGAACTCCCTCTATCCCCCTTGCCATCATGTACTAAATGCTCACGATGGAGGAAGACCCTGTGTCCTGTGTGATAGGCATTTCTGCAAAGTGCTCACCGTTCAGGCTCTTCCTTGATTGTCACAAGTATATTTCCGCCCCAACATATCATAGCTGAAAGCGCACAGTTATACCATTAGCTTGCATCGTCTGAACCTTTTTTCTCTGTGATGAATACTAATTTCTATTTTATATAAATGCAAATCTCCCATCTAACATAAATTTTAGAACAGTAAAAACAACTTAGTTTGGAGCCAACTAGTTCTTCATCTTTTTATCTGGATAAGACTTTTGATTCCATTACTTGTTAAAAAGGAAAAAAAGTTAAGTTTCTTATTTACAAAAACCGCCAAGTTTCTTGAACAAAGAAGATAATTTCATCAAAGGTGAACCGCTACAGTATTCACTCTGGCATTCATCATGTTCTTCTCTTGGCGTTTCTTTTCTTCCTTGAATGCGCTACTGTTGATCTTTCTTTCTATTCTTCGCTCCTGTGAACAATGAAAACAGTTTTGAAAGATTGTAAATTATTAAGAACAAGTAGTCCCTGTGTTTTGTAACAGAGCATAAGCCTAGAAGTTCTTTTACCAATAGTAGATTCCAGCATACATTCTTTAGAGCTAATGTAATCATAAAACATATTAACGTAGGGCTTGAGACCACAAAAGATCTTACTATTCAGTTTTGGGCCAAAATGAGACTCATTTTGGTAAAGTGGAGTAGTTTTACAAGATACAAGTGTAATTTTAACAAATTGATACAATAACTACACGAGCTGAGAAAAAAGGTTTAAAAGAAACATGCTTGCCTATTAGTAGATGTTCCTGACAAATGATTAACAGCTGATCTTAATCTGTAACAAAGCTACACAGTTCATCTCACACCATTGTACATCACCTTGCATTGATGTTCAGCATAAAACACTCAATCTAGTGTGGGTTGCTGTCTCAAATAATTGTTAGTTGTTTTACCGTACTGTCCAATATTCACTGCAGACACTGACCTTTCGGTACTGTTTAAGCGCAGTTTTCCTCTGTTTCTTCTCCTCTGGAGTCTCGTCCTTGTTGCGTATGGAGAGTGTAGACAGTGCCGAGATGACAGACCCCGGACCACTTTTACCCCCCTCTCCCCCCAGTCTGGCTAGGTTCTTGGCTGTCAGTCTGTCGTCTGCTACAGGCATCCCTGTGCGGCTGCTGATCTTTATTTTACTAACCTGAAAGAAAATTGGAAAGTTAATGCTTACCATCAATTTTCCAATCTAGAACAAGAAAATTCATCCCAATGACAAACTTGTATTTGGTTTAAGAATAAAAACTTTTAGTTAAATTCAACTGCCAACAGAGTGTGCTGATGTCATTCATTTGACTGATTTCTGTTAATTACGGGAACTGCTTAACCAAGTTAACTGACAGGAAACTTGTTGATAAATTTAACTTTTTTTGTCACATATAAACTCCACTTGTTTGATCTTTTAGTAAGGGGTGGACATCTTATGGATGGTTTGGTATGTTTATCACAGTTAGTATAAAAAAGGAGTTAAAAGTGAATCTTCTTAAACAGAAGCGCACTCTGTAAATGGCTCACTCAAATTCAAATATGTCCTTTTTAAATAATAAAATTGGTTACGCCTACAATTTAGAAGGGATGTCTGATTCAGTATTTAAAAGTAAATGGTTCATCAGAAATAAGCATTGTGCCTAATGACGAATAAGCAAAAACATTATGCCACACCCATGTCTTTCTAATGTAACGTCTCAAACAGCAAACAGCAAAAAAATTGTAAGCCTATTTTAATGATGGATCCAATCTAAATCTCGATTCTCAACTCCACCATATCTAGAGAAAAGATTCAAGTTTAAGATTTAATGGATTTTGATGGGAATCACTGCAATAGCGGTAAGAAATGTGGTTGTCGCAATGGCATGAGATGATCAAAACATTGCTAGGGTTATACTTCAAGATTTAAAATTGATTCAAAATGAAGTATAAATAGCAGAGACAGAAACCTACAAGGAAATTTTGACCATATCATATAAAAATTGTACTTGAATTAGAGATTCAAGACAAAATTGTTAAGATTTCGGTTTTGACATAGTATTCTTGAATCATACTACCACTAAAGCTTATGAATGAACGTACTCACTTTAGGCTCAGTAATGAGTTTAGGATGATTATAGATGTTTGAGTATGTTGAGAGGATTGACTCACAGTCCCATTTCTCTTTCTCTTCTATCAGAACGAATCTTTCATCCTCTAGGCTAGACGTATCTGAATCTGACAAGAGTACGTTGTTACCTTCTGGATCTGGTACCTGAAATGAACAATGACAAGACATTCTGTTAAGTAAAATCATAGCAAATAAATTTTATTGGAGAGTACACCATTATGGTCTATTTAACACCTTGGGTCAAAATATCATTTGTAAAACTATAGTTCGTGTCAATCAGGATAGAAAGTGGGAAGGACGAGAGAAAGGCTCTTCACAACAAGAGAGTCACAACACTGCTCACTGCTGTAGTTGACACAATCTTTAACCAATGGTAATCCCCCTAACTCAGTGGTAAGATCAAATACTTGACATACAGTCGGGACCACGTAAGTTTGTAGTTGATGGAGGAGCCTATTTACCATATGGTTTTGGATGAACCAATGAGAACCGTGCGGTGTTGCCAAATCTAATAATACCAGCTGATTTGAAAATATTGCTTAGTATATTTTAATTAGTGTTGTCAACGGGCGATGTGGCAACGTCGCACTAGCCTTGCCTTGTGATTGGCTGCCACCAACTGCAAACTTACGTGGTCCCGACTTTAGGTCCAACCTTCAATCTTTAATAGGATTTCAATTCCCATCCTAAGCCAAGGCACAATATCCAAGGAATGTACAATAAAAATGAGGGTTGTCTGTAAATTAAGGTTTGCATCAAACTCTCGTTGCAACTAAGCAAGCTGGTTCAAATCCAACCACTGCATGCTGTGTGACGCTGTGGGACCCAGTCCCACCTCCCCTTGTCGAACAGTTAATCTCTTCATAGTAGTCTAGTGAGGGAAACAAAACCACGATTCCATCAAGTGTGAATCATCTTCTGTGATTAGGTCTCAGTGGGAAGGGTCTACTTACGGATAATAATAATTGCCAGTAATCATACATATTTTAGAAAGTCGTAAACATTGTACGAGGATGGTGTGGTAGCGAATGTTCATTCATTTTAGTATTTGGTGTCTGCGAGCCAGTACTTTTTGCTTCAGGTCAGGTGGGGGTCAGGTTTAAATAAAAATTCAGCTAATATAATTAACTTTTTTAGTAGGGCTCACCATAAATTTAAAATTGTATTAGGTAACTTTTATTACTTTTTATAAGAAATTATTTGTGGTATTACAATTGATCTTGAAACAATATTGCATCCCCTATATCGCAATAGACTTGAATGTCTTTGAAGGTCACAACGAATTCGAGAACATCTTCTATAACATTGGCAAAATCGTGAACGTCTAACATAATTATGACAAATCGTAAACCATTTTGACTCCTAGAAGTGGTCCATAAAAATCAGTTTTCGTAACATCGTTTACGTGGATGTTAAACTTTAACCAGGTAATTGGACCTATATATTTAGTTTTAAGTGTATACGGTAACTATATTACCATATTAAAGTTTAGATCTTTCTGAAGAGATTGGTTTTTATTTTAATGTTCTATGATTAGTAGGTATTTAATATAATGCACAGCTCTGAAATAGCTGAATACGGGCATTCGACTAACAAAAAAATGGCCGCCATACAGTAGAAAAATAAAATAATTATGTTTTTGTACTTCTAATAATGTGTACTTTCAACTCAAGGAAAAAAATATCAAAAAATTTTAAAGTCTTGAAGCAACCATCTTTAGACCACTTGAAATGGATTGACCCTTGGAGGAACTTGTGGTCACGGTGAATCTGAGAACATCTTCTACGTTCACAGCAAGATCGTAAACATCTTCTGCAGTCATCCATAAAGTAAGAACATATTCACGGTAGAACTATTAAAATTTGTTGCAGTCACTATGAAAAAAAAAACCGAGAACATCTTCTAGTCTCGGCAAAATATTCTGCAGTTAGAGTGAAATGAAGAACATCCAAGGGGCCAATTGTAAATAAATCTGTGAGATTACGGCAACATAATTTTTTTTTTACTCCCATGAACATGACAAACCAGTGAACATCACCCACAATCAGGACAAAATCATAATTTTATATCGCACATCTTTGCAGACGCTTTCTCTGAGGCAAAAATATAAACTTGACTTTATTGACCTAACCTAACCTTGGCCAGACAATATTTTCCATCCCGAACTGAAGCCTCACCTGAAACAAAAATATCAGGGACCCACAGACCCTTAATAGTGATTTAAAACTTTGCTTGCTAACCAAAAAGTGTAAGGGGTTTTAGTTTTACAGTCCTCGATAGTCTTAGCGACGTCTCTTTGTCAGTTATCTCTTCCTCAGTCACACCAAAGCCCGCACAAAAAAAACTATTTATTGTCACTGACTCAATTAAATCTGAAGTATAGTCGCAGCTTATATATACACTGTGCTAGACATTCTAAGAATATTTACAATTAGGCCTACCTCCTAACTCTCCATCCACCCATTAGCCACATTAACTACGTTCACAAATATGTCTCTATTCATGTTCCTCAACTGGAAATGGATTTCAATAGGGATTGATGCCTTGGACCATAGAAATATCAGTGATGGCAACATACTTCGTGTTGGACGGTGCATTCATATTCTCTCACATTGTTATTGGCTACTATTTTATACTATTCGTTGGCAAAGGGGTCGGGTCTGCTTAGAATAGTAGAGGGAGAGGTAAAAACAACGGCTCTGGTGTCAAGATTTGAAATAGCTCACATGAGTGTGGCTGGAAGTCATTGGATACCTCAATTTATGCACAGCCTTCATAGTAACAGTTCAAGTCTCCTTGCTTGGGTTGACCTTATAAGCCATGTGTGACTAGAAGTAGTAGATTACTTGAAGAAATTAGGTTAAATTTGGGAATTTAGCAAATTTCCCTATAGTGATGAAGCTATTATTACTGTGGTTACAGTAAAACCTACAACTCACAAAGTCTGTTGGAACAGGTTTGCTGCAACAGGGTTATTATGATAAGGTATTGATTGAACACTGCATTGATCTTACTTTAGAACGTGTGTCAAACTCTTCTTCAGCCAGCCGCAGCACCATGTCATCAGCTGGATTTATTTCACCTTCGATCTCTTCACAGTCCAAAGCTCCTATCTCATTTTCATCATACTCAGCAAACATCTGAAACATTTTAACTCATTAGTTGTTATGTCAGTTTTAGTCTTGCTACATCTACTGTACTGCAATTTTTTTCTTATGATTAAAAATACAAGAATAAACTTTGTTGGGGAAAAGATTTTTAAACAGAGTGGTGGCATTAAAAATAACATGGGGTTTCAAAATTATGTTTATGGTTTGGAATGGTATAGCATTTTTTTTTGTGAGGGGATCAGAGGCAAAAACCCCATGGTTTTTTTTTATTAATAAGGCATCCAAAATATAGCCTACAATTAGTTGTAGGCCTACATGAGTAGTTGTTATTTATTTGCCAATTTGTAACACCCTCTCTGACCAGTGACAGGAATTCTGTATATCCTTCTTCTGGAGCGTAAATATGTGTAGATTTATTATTTTGGGAACGATTGCTGAGATAAGGTTTAAGGTGAGAAAACAATCACACATTACTGTCACTCAACCACTTACACATTTTTTATATTTTTCTGTGAAAGGAGCTAGACCAAGTCTTACTGGCATACACATTTCATGCAATGTTGTCAGTATGATTTAGGTTTTCATCTATGTGTAGCCCTAAAAACTTCAAATTTGTTTACAGGACACAACAACAACAATTTGTCAATCTAAACGTCCTATTGTTTAGAGCAGTATTCCACCATTATTCCTGATATAGCCTACAACACCACAAGAAAAACATAATTATTTTTTTTATACGGTACCACTTTGTCACTATTAAGTAGAATTTGAAAAAAAATATTATGAAGGTCATATGCTATTTTGTTAACTCTGGTATTAACAAAGAATTCAGAAACTTGAATATAATTAGATATAAATATGCTTATAATCATGTACGAGCCTTGATAATTTCTGAAAAATGGCAGCAAGCTTTCCTTGGAGGGATATTTATTCAATTTAGCACCAGATGCAAGACTTTTTTGCTCATCTATACTTATTTAATACGCAAGCAGGTTTTTTGTGACAATTACTCCTCCGAAACTACTGAACCGATTGAGATGTTTTTGGTGTCATTGGAAAGAGCGTAACGTGAAGTTGTGCAGGAAACTTTCTTTTTAGGGAAATAATTAGAGAGTGAGGCCCTGGAGCCCTTTAAAGTTTTGTATTTCTCCATAAGATTAACATGGGAACCACAATTGTTATGAAACTCCAGCTGTTGTCAGAAATTAAAAGTGAGAAGAAGAACATATGTTAATTGTACACAGTCAATAAGTTTGCTAATTTAACAGTTATTTGCTTCAAACATTTACTTGGTTGAAATTAAATAGTTACTATTTGAATTAGGGATGGACGGGTCCCGAAATTTCGGGAATTTTTCGGGAAAAAAATATTCCCGATTATCGGGACGGGATTACATTTGATTCGGGAATTTTTCGGGACGGGATTTGGTCCGATCGTCGGCGATTTTACCGCTTCGCGAGTGCCGATGACGCCGCTATTGCGAGCGATAGGTCCGCGAACGCAGGAGACGAAGTCATTTCGACAATCGCGCCGTGACCACGGAGTCCTACCGACGATCGCGCCGTGACCACGAGTCATACCGACGATCGCGCCGTGACCGCGAGTCATACCGACGATCACGCCATGACCGCGAGTCATCCCGACGATCGTGCCGTGACCGCGGAGTCCTACCGACGATCGCGCCATGACCGCGGAGTCCTACCGACGATCGCGCCGTGACCGCGGAGTCATGCCAACGATCGCACCGTGACCGTGAGTCATACTGTCGATCATGCCGTGACTGCGAGTCATACCGACGATCGCGCCGTGACAGCGGAGTCATGCCGACGATCGCGCCGTGACCGTGGAGTCATGCCGACGATCGCGCCGTGACCGAGGAGTCATGCCGACGATCGCGCCGTGACCACGAGTCATACCGACGATCGCGCCGTGACCGCGAGTCATACCGACGATCACGCCATGACCGCGAGTCATCCCGACGATCGTGCCGTGACCGCGGAGTCCTACCGACGATCGCGCCATGACCGCGGAGTCCTACCGACGATCGCGCCGTGACCGCGGAGTCATGCCAACGATCGCACCGTGACCGTGAGTCATACTGTCGATCATGCCGTGACTGCGAGTCATACCGACGATCGCGCCGTGACAGCGGAGTCATGCCGACGATCGCGCCGTGACCGTGGAGTCATGCCGACGATCGCGCCGTGACCGAGGAGTCATGCCGACGATCGCGCCGTGACCGTGGAGTCATGCCGACGATCGCGCCGTGACCGAGGAGTCATGCCGACGATCGCACCGTGACCGTGGAGTCATGCCGACGATCGCACCGTGACCGTGGAGTCATGCCGACGATCGCGCCGTGACCGCGGAGTCATGCCGACGATCGCGCCGTGACCGCGGAGTCATGCCGACGATCGCGCCGTGACCGCGAGTCATACTGTCGATCATGCCGTGACCGCGAGTCATACCGACGATCATCCCGTGACCGCGAGTCATACCGACGATCGCACCGTGACCGTGAGTCACAAGTTTCTATAGGTACCTGTATATTGTTACCCATTTTTTTGGTTTTTTATAGATCAGTACCACAAACGGTAAAAATTGATTTTGTATGTCTTTTTTTGGTAACTGCAATACTCAAGACTTTCTTTTTATGCACAGAAAAAATCCCGTCCCGTCCCGTCCCGAAAATCGGGAAGGAAATAAAAATCCCGTCCCGTCCCGTCCCGAACTAAAAATTCAATCCCGTCCATCTCTAATTTGAATTTGGGTTGGCGTAAATATTACAATGGAAAAAAAACGAGATAGCCTGGATAAATTATATTTTAAAAGATATTTACAAGAAATTTTGATTATATCGGTCTGTTATACATCTTCAGTATTTCCATAATATTTGAGTCGAATCTTATAAAGTCATAAGAAATTATGACTGTTATTCGTTTTAAAATAACTACTTAGCAATTGCTCGAATTCGAGCAACATGGACACTAGTATAAATTTAAAGTGCTAAGTAAGTTACTATGTTAAACTAATGAAATTACTTTTTCTTCGATCATGCGTCTTTATTATTTTACACAGTTGTCATTAACTATTACAACCAAACAATCCTAAAATGTAATACTCATACTTATGTCGTCATCATGTACCACCACAATGGTTTAAGCATACTACAGGTTGGGAAACATTGGCTTAGAGGAAGAAGATTAGTTCAGGTCAACCAACCTTCTCGAACCGATCGTCCAGCAGTGTAAGTTGGTCGTTACGAGGCACGACTGAACTGGACATAGAAAACTCGGTAAACCTTGACTTGGTCTCTTCTTGGCGGAAGGAGCCGAGAGTATCGTCCGACTCTTTACTGCGACCTCCCACCGTACTGACGCTACCTTCATCTTCACTGAGGTCGTCGGAGTCTATGTACTCATCATCATCTCCTTCATCCTCAGAACTGAAAAAAGTGTGCGAGTTAAATAACACTTAATTATAATCAGTAAAAAGAAGGAGTAACTATGGGGTTTTATGGGGCTAATCCCAAAAACATGCATAGCTGTTGAACTGGAATTTTTACAGCACTGTGGATTGTGCCATGTTGTTCGGAGTTAAAAGTACAACAACATAATAAGTTTTCATTAAAAAGTTTAAGAGGTCTTTGTAAAAATATGTTTTTTGGGGTTTTTATTAAGCGATCCACATAAAAAAATTAAAAATTTCATGTTTTTGGCCTCTGGACAAAAATTGATTTAACATTAACATACCTTCATCAAACACAATTAAAATTGCACAATTTTTGGCTTATATGTTTTGTTGCAAAGACAACATTTTCAAAGCTTGCAACTTGTCCAAACAAAATTAAAAGGAACACAAGATGAATATAAAAACGGTATGAATACACAAACATTTTGATAGCGCTGTCACTGAATCGCTCGGCGCAGGGTTGGTAGCAGACTGGAGGACATCATATTGTCATCTCCTCTCCATCCCTTATCATTGATGTTATCACAGCTTCGGTCAGCTGATTTTAATATAGAATTGTATTGAAGATCGAGGGAGAACGGAACGGTAGCTTTTTTTTTTGTTGATGGTGTGGGGCTTACTCTATTCATCATTGTAAATTTTATAAATCCCAAACACCTCAAGGCGTGTGAGCTAGCTATCTTTCCAATAGACGTGTAAAATTTCTTAACTATCGTCTATTGTGGTAGCTCATTGACTGATTTAAGTGAACCAGGTTAAGGCAATGGCTGATTCCCGATTAGAAATTTTTGGAGTTGGTCTATGTTTCATGTAACGGGTTTCAAATGCCCGGCCTTTCGGCCTATATATTTGCGTGGACAATCTAGACAATTAAAAATCTTGCAAACACCAGTCTTGTTTATTTTATTTTTGGTTCCTCTATTGTTAGTTGTGCAAAATATTTCTAGTGTGGTTGGTTGTTCGGAACGTAAAATTTATGCCTTAGTTATTTAATTCTTTTATTTTAATCCGAGTTGCAAGCTTTGAAAATTTTGTCTTCGCAACAAACATATAAGCTATTAAGCAATTCTAATTGTTGGACTATTAATTAGATGGAGGAACGTAAAACATATATTTAACTAGACTAGTGATCGTCCTGTGGTCGAAACTCGACCAAAAATATAATGTACAGACTTCTCTATTTTCTCCCCACACTGTAAATAAAACATGTGATTGGAATTTCTTCCATTTGTTTTGATTTTCTGTTTACATTTTGTTGTTATTTCGTCACCATCATGGCAACCCATATGGTCCATGTTAATTTTTTGAAGTTTTCAAATTAATTTTTTGTGCTTATTTGTTAGCCTACTTTAACTTTTAAAGGCATTCTGCACATATACAGGAAAATATCTTTCCAACAGTATGCGTAGATTTTCCCTGCGATGCACACGAGCTGAGAAAAAAGGTTTTAAAGAAACATGCTTGCCTATTAATATATAGATAGATAAGAATACTAAAAAAAATATTAAAAAAGGAGGCCTGGAGGTATTTGTTTAGTTCCTACTTAGTTACCAAATTTCATCAAAACGGATCACAAGTGTAGCCTGTAGTTTTGTACACATCCATACACATATATCACTTAAAACAAATAAGGGTTAGGGCAGGGCGGCCCAAAACAAAATTTTTTCACCTAAAACTGCAACTAAAAAAATGTTGACAAAAACAATACTTTCTCCATATATACTATGTATAGGCGGAGAAAGTAAAAATTTATACTGAATTTGGACCGGAGTGTCTGTCAAGCAATTTACACTTGGCCTAAATGAATATTCCTGTTCATCCAGCACTGTACAGATGCTGTACAAATTTATTGTTCAGTATGAAACAATAATTAAATAGTTTTCCACTTCACTTGGAACAAGTTTTATAGTAACATATTCATTAGTTTTAGTAGGCTATAAACTTTTGACTGTTTGTGCATTTTTATAACCTGGACAAGAGTCCAATCATAGGGGTGTCTTTAAAGAGAGGAGCCTATGGTAATAAAAATCAAATTATATAAAAAAATAATTAAATACCTATTACAAATTGTTTTACTTTTTAGTTACCATATTTTACTGAAAAATTTCTATGGGGACAATTTAAGATTAAATGACTATAGGCCTACATTTATCAAGTTTTAGGGAAAAGGACTTAGGCCTAGTTACTTTTTTATGTCATCAAAACATACACAAAGTGTGTAAAAACTTAAAAGAAAAATTTGTAATCCTTAATTAAAACTTACTACTCATCTCCAGAGGCATTTGCTTTTAAAATAAAGTCATCTTCCAGTTGGTTTTCAGGGTCCTCAAAGTCAAAATCTTCGTCCATTGCAGCAACTATGTCGGGGTCTAAATCCAAACGGAGTCCTGAAAACGTTTTGAGTCAATTAAGAATGAAGGGCTACGATTAGCCTATTTCTTTGCCCAGAAACATTTATCAAGAGCTCAATAACAGCTGGGTCCAGTTTTGAACCGTGAAGCCCTAACAAACTTTCCAAAACTATCAACCTTCTGTTTATCACGTAAGCATTAAGTATCAATCAGCATAAAGTAAATCACTCAGTTACATTCATAAACAATAAAAAGGGTTTTTTATTAATTTACGCCAAGACAAAGATATGTTAAATTGATTACCTGATTGAGGTGCTGCTTTGTTTAGTAGTCCTACATCTTCTTGTACCTCGGAAGCAAAAACTGATGATGGCAATTTGATTTTGTTTTCCTGAAATGAGTGAGAAATCAATCGCTATGAGTGACTGTAAAAGAACGTTGAGATTTTGATAATCTACACACACAAAAATCCAATTTGATCTTTGCACCTTATGTCTAACACTTGAGCCCCAGGAGTGATTCAATGATTGGTACAGTAGGACCTCAATAACTTGAACCTTGATACAGTAAAACCCCTTATCCGGCCTACATGGGACTAAGCCCCTGGCTGGATAAAATTTTAGCTGGATTAACCAACCTATTATTAAAACAATAATTTGTATCTAATGACAACTTGTGATCGGTTAAAAGTAGTGTTTGAGTCTCTTTTAGCGAATTTCCCATATAGGGAATAAGCTATTACCATAGTACTCATGGTAAGACCTGGACGCGGGACCGATTTTTTTTTTCGTTTTGAGGTCCCAAGAGGCCAAAAACACCATCCGTTAAAATTCATATATATATATATTTATATATTTATACATATATATATATTATATATATATATGTGTGTCCGTTAGCACGATAACTCGAGCAAAAATGATCCGATTTTGATGAAATTTGGTACAAACGTGTAAACGTACGTTTATTAGAACGAGTTCGCGATCCAGCATGATCGGACCATGGGAACGGGGGTTTACGGGGGGTTTTATGGGGTAAAAATAGGTTTTTCCCATTTTTGACCCAAAAAACATAAAATTTAGCAATTTCTTTCCAAATCATTTTGTAGAGCTTAAAAAAACAAATAATTTAGTATATTCAAGCGTTATTATACGCCTAATGATTACGGAGAAAATTCCAAAAAATTGTAAATTTAAAATTCCAATGTTATTCTTATGGAGAATAAGTAAACTGCTGTAGTTTGCTTGTTTATGAACATATTTTGATCAAATTTGGAAAATGTTTTTATTTCTTACTAACTATTAACATTTTACAAAAAAAAAAACAGTTTTACCCTCCCTGATGCAGCAAACCTAAGTACTTGTTAAACTAATTCTATTTAAATAGGGAATAAATGTTATATTTTTAAGTAGACATTTCAGTGTAAATCTAATCAGTCAAATGGAAATTCGCTTAGTCTGCAGGTTTGCTGCGGCGGGGGTATTTTAAATCTACTAGCTCAACTGAGTAGTGAACCCGCTAAAAATGTATATTAACAGGAAACAGATAAACTGTGAGAACGTTCAAATCATGAAGACTACGTGTACAGCAGTGGGAAATATATTTGGCATTGATTCCGGGAAGTGGCTGGATAAACCGAGGATCAGAAATTCGAGGGCCGGTTGTTAGGGGTTCTAGGATCTCGAATTCCTTGATATCTCAAATTGTTCACACCTTGACATCCCCATTAATCACAATGTAAAAAGTACCTCTATAAGTTGAAGGTTTTAAATGTTGAAACCCAAAAAGTAGAATTTTTACGGAATGAACCTCTATAACTCGACGATGTTCCATTATAAGTCAATGTTCACAGGATGTGCCTCAATAGCTTGAAGTTTTGCCGTACAGTGCAAGTCAGCTGTGTTTTGATTCCTGGCAAGACATGAAAATCCAAATTCATTTGTTTGTTTGGCAATGACTTTTGGCTAGTAATGAAGTCTACCAGTCAAAAGAAGAAATGTAATTATAGTGGACAATGGTTTAACGTAAAAAGGTTAAATCACCAGGGAATTTGAAATTCCACTAACACTTTATTGATGATTTTGAAAAACTGGGGAAAGCAAGAGGATGAAGCTGGATTGATCAATATGAAAAGATATGTAAGAACGGTGAGTTTAAAGATGTGGACATGTTTAACGTGGTTTTATAATTGTCGATAACAACATTCCGAAGTCAAAGCTGACTTAGCAAGAGAAGGTAATTCAGCACCGGTATGCCATTTGTGTGCATGATAATTTTATTTAGCTATAGCTTGAGCTCGATTTATTAAGGTTATGAGGCTTGAAACAGAAAAGATAGGCGCAATGTATGGAACAACTAACTCACAGAAAATCCACCCAGTTAACTTAAACTTATGTTCAATTTAAGGTAATAAACCGTTAAGCCATCATTTTAGGTACGGTAGGTTTTTTGTATTGAGCAAACCCCTTAAGAGTTACCACCAAACCTAATCCAGACAAGATTCTAACTCTTGATACACGGTGCTGTCAACTAAATGTGTGTGTGTTGAGGCTAGGGAGTCATCACCACAGACCAAGCCATTTTTAGACACAATGATCCGCGATAACAATAGGCCAAGGCATCTACAGATAAACACAAAGCACAATTGTGGTATCGAGATTTCCAGCCGTGTTTGTTGGGTTAGCCCAACTTACTCATATAATATAGGCCTAGGTAGCCTACTGGCAGATTTTTGTAAATGTTTGGTCAGATCTATGAACGATATAGCAGTCTTTGGGGCTTCAAGGATTAAAAACTCTGTTTTACATCTCATTAAAAAAATGCAAAAAGAATGGAAGTAAAAATATATTCAAAACAATCAAGCCTAGATTATTTTGGTCTTAGGTGGGCCTATATTTTTATTTGACATCATTCCAGGAAACAGGAATTGCTCTTTCCGATATGATTTTTTTATGAGCACTTTCAAGCTTTTATGGTCCAGCCTATAAAAGCCTAATTGTAATTAAATTGCTCCTGGCCAAATCAAAAAACAACAATTTTAGGCTTTTAATCAATTAAAGGGATCTTATAAAATAGGAAAAAGAAGTTAATTTAATTGGATTTCAGCCTCCTGGTCATATTTTAGTTGATACCTTCTAGTTTGCCTTATGCATAAAAAAATATTCATACAGATTTTTAGAAGGATAGGGCTAAAAGGTATGTTGTTTAATGGTCTTACCTTTTGTGGCTTTTCTCTTTCTGGTGTTTCTTCCCAATGTGCAACCATTGAGTCGTTCTCCCGCAAGTGTTGGAGGTAGTCATAATCATCGTCAAAATAGATTCCATACTTCATCTCTTCCTCTTTTTGTTTTTTCGATTTACTCTAAAATCAAAATTGTTTGTAATGAAAACTTTAGTTAGTTAAAAAAAATTTGTTAAGTAAAAATGCAACAATTTTAATGTTTATCAACTGAAAAGATAAGTCCCAATTAAGCTAGCATTTCTAAAATTTAAGAGTGGAAATGGCCTCACAAAGTCATATTAAGCTATTGTTTCATGGATAAAAATAGCTAAAAAATTTTCCATCATAATAGTTTAAGGGAGAAATGATCACAAAAGAATATACAGAAAATGGCCTGATGCTAAAAAAATGACAACAACAACAAGAAGAGAAAAAATGTTTTAGTGCACAACATCCCTGAGAAAATGCGTCCTGATAAAGAATCAAGAATTTCTCATCACAAGGACTTGGGGAGAAAACTTATTTAGACAGTACCTAACTGGACATTGAAAGCAATTAATGATATTGTCTTCCCTATAGCCTTTGTGGTATTAAGCTTCTAAGGCTGGGCAAACCAAACAAAACCAGGCTGTGACCTATTATTAAAGTCATAGGCTACTCTGCACGCAATATCCTAACTAATGAAACAGCTGCAGGCCCGTTTTTGACTCTGCCACTGCCAGCTCCCTAGGCACAACTAATAGTAGCACCCTTTTGCAATATATAACAGGGTGTCCACCAACCGGGAAAACCAGGAGCTATGTGTAAGTTTTTAACACGTTGACTGCGCGCGCCGACAAAAGTCGGCACCAGACCAACAGAAATATATTGAGTCAGTGTGAGCTTAACCTCAGACGTTATAATCGTTGCCAGCCTGCCAGCTTAGAATGCGAGCTTTACTTTGGTGTAGGTTGGTACTAAAATTTCCCGTAAAAGCCTGTCTGGCAATGCTTTTGTCCCGGTTTCGGGGATTTTTTCTCTTCAACTTTATACTTTATACTTTCTTATGAAATGGCGACCATACAATGTAGGTATTTTAAGCCAAGTATGAATGGAGATGAGTGTAAGATGAGTGGCGCGATCTTGTAGTCTTGTTAGTGACTATGGCCGACATTCCTTAGACACAGCTCACATTACAAAGACACTGGATACGGATCCGTGCAGTGCTGCTACCTTTGGGTGTTTCAGTGAACTACATCCACTCTCGGGGTAACGCAGAACAGTCACCACTGCTCTTTTGTGATTCGTCAGACTGAAATATTTGAATGCCAATTGCGTTCGCTGATTCAGTTGCGCGCCGGGGCTTCGCCCACCACTGGGGAGCGCCTGTATAGTCGGCGCGCGCAGTCAACATGTTAAACTGGGAAATATTGGTGAATTTTGTATGTCTGCCTAGAATTTTCAATTTACCGCGATCTCGCATGACAACAGTGACGTTTCCATGACCACAGGAGACGATAATACACTTGAGTCCTGCTAATCCAAACGTCCGCTTAATCCTAACACAAAAAGTGTTTGTGATACTTAAGCTTCAGCCTCATATTTGGGTTAAAATACACACCTAGACCTAGGGGGCGTCTCCGTCTCAATAATTGATGGTTGAATTGCTTAAATTCACTGAGCCATTTTCTTCTAAGTTAAGTTAGTCGTCAATGCTGACATTGCATTCAAAGATGACAACAGAAGGTAAAGGGAAAGGACTCCCTATGCGATCTGGAAGGGTCTCAATGGTCGTACCAAGAAGGGCAAGAAGAATCTTACTAAACTTACAACATATTGAAATAATGCTGTAAAATATCCCAGGCTAGAACCTATGGCATCCTAAAATGTGAGAGGTAACTAAGGATGTTTTATAAAATTGCGAATCCCCTACTGGCTTTTTATTCTGACACTATCTACATTTGGAAAAATTAGAGACCCGCTGATACCTGTTCTAGCCACAACCTTGTTATTGTAGCCTACATAATAAGCCATATTTTTTCACTCTCATAACTTACCTGAGAGGAAGGTGCAGCCAAAAGTACTCTTTGAGGTGCACTGTCATCAGCAGCCAACGGATCTTGTTGACTGCGGTGAACCAGGTGAAACGTAACAGCATTCTTCTTGTCAATCCACTTCTTCTTGGTTTTCGGCTGTGGAAAATATGTTAAGTTTCATTAATTCTAATGGACGATAATTGGGCAAAAGCCTAAACTTTTTAGTAAGTTAGGCTACTATGCATGGTGGAATAGTTAACTTCAACATGATATTTAAGTTAGATAAACTTTTTTCTGCAAACAATTTAAGATCAAGTTAATGCAACAATTAGTAGGCTATGCCTAGAATTGGACAGTATATGCATTGGCATTACTTATTTGGTAATATCAAACTATTTTTTTTAATAACTTCATGATGGCAAAATAAAAAGTAAACTCATATTATTATTCCCTATTTTTGATTGCAGTCCTAACCTCAAACTAAACGTGGTTGTTGTAGCCCACTAATCTATACTTTTATTTCTAGCTCCATCATGTACGTTAACCAATAACTATAATAATACAGAATTACTGACCATTGTACTTGAAGTGATATATAAAAAATTAAGACGAAATAAACTGAGTCAGGCACGAGAAAAGGAGGGATAGAGTAGAGAATAAGGGAAGAGGGATTCACTTGGACTTCTCGACTTCTGACTTGACACTTGGACTTGACTTTTGTTTTGACTTGACTGACTGCTGAGTGCTGACACTGACTCCAGTCCACTTCTCCACTACTGACAGTCGTTCGTAGTTATACTTCTTTTCTTTCTTTATCGAAAAAAAAACATTCGTTCACCGTTCAGTGCTCTTCGCAGTGATTACGACCGGGCCCATCTATATAAATAAAATTAGAGTTTTGTCTGTACATTGCTCAGAATTATATATTTTTAGGTTATTTTTACGTCTTATACATTAAATAAGCAGAAACGAGTCTTATCTCAATTTCTGTCTGTCTGTCTGTCTGTCTATCTGTCTGTCTTTCCCTTTGTCTGTAACACTCAAGATGGCATTTTACGCTATCTTCTCCTGGAAAACGAGAGTACCTATCAAGATCCAAGTCATTTTAATGTATTCACTGGATTTTCGAGATTGCCTTTAGCCCTTAAAATATGGCCTCACTACTTTGTAAATAATATTACGAACGTTCAAAAATGTAGTTTTGTGCGATTTATGTCAAGTTTTCGTCCAATTTTTATTGCATAATCATCTATGAAATAACGAACAGCTGTTCGGATCAAGATTATTTTTCCTAGCTGTCACTGATATGTTTACAAATGTTGTTTACAAATACCGCAACCTTTTTCAATCACGTTTTGAATGTAAATCCCAAGTGATTAAAAACGTTTTTCTTACATAACGGATTTAATTAATCGAAAGTGCAATAATATAGTGTAATAGTGTAACCGTGTAAATGAAATTAAATAACTAGGCATCATCCAGTTCAGGAACCAGAGATTCTTTGTGTATAAATTGTTCTTGAGTTTTGATAACCAGAAAGAAGACCTTGAATCAGTGTTGTATACGGCTGGGAAACTTTAAATTTAATAATGATCGTCGCCAATGGCTTAGAAATATGGTTTCCACTCATTGACACGGCGCTTCAATGGCGGTTGTGTAAAGTGGTAAGTAAAAAATCACAACTGCAGTGGTTGATTGTAACAGAGGTTTACGGATGATGCTAAACTCGCTTTTCTAATGTGTTATTTTCTGTTCCTACCATTGACTATATATATATATAGTCAATAGTACCTACTCACCGTGTGATGCAATCGCTGGACCATACAGCCATGCTCTTGGGTACGTACGCCTACCCAATTATTCATAACGATAACAAACTGTTCGACGACGATCCTTGATACCGGTACTTTTCCCTAGAATACACGGCCTACCTACTTAAGAAATAAAATTACAAACGTCCAAAAACCCAACGTTGTGTGATTTTTGTCACATTTCCTTCTAAGATAGCCTTTACCAATCATTTTTTAGAAAATAGGTACGTAGGGCCTAATCTATTAAATAACAAAAAGTTGTTTGTAGGCCTATGAGGTTGTTTTTTTTTTTAAACTGACACCGATAAGTTTACATTAAAAGTTGTTTACAAATAAAGCAATTATTGGGAAATAACTTTGATTGCCGTTTTAAAACGTTTTACGAGAAAATCAAAAACCAAGAGATCAATAACCTCGGGACTTGATTAACTCATATAATTGGTCGGCTGTGAACGTTGGTTTTTGGTACCGGTTCTATTCCTTAGAACCGTTGGTACTGTTGGTAGTAGCAAGAATCATTTTTAAGTACCAACACATCACTGTACTTTACAAATTAGTTATCGTTGGTGTTGCACCTTATTTATTATTACAGGCGTATTCAATTTAATTGATGTCTTAACTGTACAATTTTTGCTTTTTCTTTCTTGATTCCAAAATGTTAGTTTATGCTAAGAAAACGATAACGCACTTTAGTAAAACATTTATTCAGCTAACCATAATGAATTGTTTAAACGTTTTACGTTGTTTCTGTATCAATAGTTCGTGGCCTATTTTGGTAATATTTACTATAAATTACCAATCGTCTATACCAGGGTGGCTGGACCACCCTGGACCAGTCGTCTTCATTTCATATAGTAAGCCGTCATTTCGGGTCATCATCGGTCCAAGCAAATATACATTGTTATGATAAAATTTGATGACATTAACAAAATATTTTAGATACTAATTTTACAAGTACTTTGTTATGCTTAAATAAGCGTAGCAAACCCCCCCAATTAAGTTCTGTATTTTTGTGTGTATATCTGTTAGTAAAGCATTAATGTCCTTATTTCTCAGTGTTTCATGGAAAGGACAAAAGTACCTTTATAATGAAAATGTCAACACGAATAAAGTGTTAAATTGGGAGGTTGAAGTAGTACCTTAAATACTTTTAACCATTGTGGAAGGTAACTTTCAATTATAGGCCTACATTAGGGCTATGCCTCATAGATCTATAAAGCATTTTTTAGTTTAATCATTGGATTTAACATATGGACCAACACGACCCAGGTTACATTTAATTTCGAAGCATTTGTTTTGGCTTGAAACTGTCAGATACTGTATTTGCGAAGGTTTATATACTGTATAATAGTTTTGCCAGCATATCTGAAAATATGCAAACCAAATTCTGTTCTTAATAAAAAGGTTTCAATAACTGACTACAATTTAAGATCCCCGTGCGTAGAACGGGCACACAGCTAGTTTCATAATAAACTACAAGTTACAACTTGTAACTTGTAATTTCCATTAGATTTGCATTGGGCAATCAGCTGATTTACTAATAATATTAGTTTGTACTTTATTATGAAATGGGCCCCATCTCGCCCAGTAATAAATCCTATTTCTTTTTGAACTGCAAATTTTGCGTAAAGTGTTGCTCTGTGGAACAGATTGGATGGAACCGTTCCTGATAAAAAAAAAACGAACTGTGTTGATTCCCAGGGGCACTGGATCAAGAGCAGTCTTTACAAGGAGATACCAGCCGACTATTAACCACGGCATCTCTAGACTCCTGAGAACCAGCGACGTGTCTTCTCGTCTTGACTTCTTCGGGCCATCACCACTCACCAGCTTCATTCAAGCGTGACGTCCGGAGGCTACTCCACTAAAGTGACCTCGCTACAGTGTTCTGGGGCCCTATTTTTGAAATGGTTGACTGTTGAGTTGAGTGTCGAGTCATTCTATTTCCAATCGTTTCGTATTTTTGAAACGGTTGACGGTGGACTTATACAACCAAAACTACTCAACACCTATCGAGCTGTTGAGTGGAGGTTGACTGCACTTTCTTCTTCCTCTCTTTCGGCAAAAAATTACTCTTTTTGAGACGACGCCATATTGTTTTGTTATTGCTTTAATTTACTAATTGCGATTTAGAGGTTATGTATTTGTTGTCAATGTATTAGCACCCAATTATGCAATTGTTTTCTGTAGAATAATCGCATTTTAATTTTATTTACTGTGTCAATACTAGACTATTTAATCAAGGGTTTTATTCTTGTTGGAATGTTTGAAATAGACTAGGCATACTAATTGAACTTATTATAAGATAATTATTGTTATTAGACCTATGATTTAAGGTATTAAAGATTGTGGTAGAGAGAAACAATATCATAGTTTGTTTCAATACCATTCACCTAATAAAGGGATCGAATTGATTTAAGTTACGATATGCTTCCAGTGCAATGGCAAATAGCCGCTTTAACCTAAATAAAAACCAATTAAAAATAACATAAAACAAACCGACGAAGGAAACTAAAATAAGGTGATGTGTTCCGAAATAGAGACGAAGAAAGCAAATAATAATGTATTTAGGATGAGTGTAGGACCTAAAGTAAAGTGCAGCCTATGCCTAAACTTATAATTAGCTACACCCTAAAACAAACATCCATAGTAAATTTTATTTTTTATACTTAAGTTTATTAGGCTACTTTATTTAGTTTACTTTAGTTTATTACTTAAGTTAAGGTACTTTGCAATCACTAAGATTAAGCAAGACATAACCTCAATCTCAATTCAATCTCTCAAGAACGGAGTTGACAGTTTACCTCAGTGTCTCGAAATATGGCAGATTGAGATTTAGCTGCCAGATTTTAGAATAAGAATTAAGAGGTTAAATCGAAGTCCGCAAGAACTCTGCATTGTGATTGGTTCAAAATGACGTCATCTGAATTTTTGACGGTCGTATGCTCTACATTTCCACCACGAGTCTCTCAACTAGTGATTCCCAACTCGCTTCCCAACTGTTGGGTTTCAAAAATACCAAATCATGTTGTTGGTTGAGTTGAGTGCTGACGATTGACTCAACTGTCAACCATTTCAAAAATAGGGCCCCTGGTCATGAAACAGTGTTGTGTTTTGTTATTGGTGGCGCCTCTAAAGGGTCACAACCACATTGTGGGGCGGGGGGGTTGTTTCGATTTATCTGCTGTTTGCATCAAAGTCTAACTTTTGTTATCTTTTTTATAAATTGTATCACTGTTGCCTACTTCATTCATCATCACTTTTATCTATTTCTAGTCTGTTATTGTTATCACTATTACTCATTTCCGTATTGCATGTATCACCACTGTCAGTATTGTTGCCAATTATTATTGTTAACTAGTTATAGATTATTTATCGCCAAGCATGTTATATATTTTATTTGTTATTGTTACCTATAGTCATATTCTGTTATTCGCTGAGCATGTTACTTAATTATTATGATTACCTAGTTAATTCAACTTTCACTCTTCAATTGTTATCACAACTGCATGTCATTTTCATTGAACATGTTTTTCATCTTTTCATTTTAATCTTTGCATGTATCACTGATGTATCTGTACAACATTTATCAGCATAAGCATCTTGTCACATGTATCACAATGTAAAACGATTGTAAAAATGGTGTTTGCCGTAAAAATGTTTGACGACTGGGACGGGTGGTGTCGTCCTGTAATCCAGCTACTAGGAGGTCACGAATTGTGGATAATTATAGGGATGCACTGTGGATGCGATGCTACCTGGTGTGGATTAACGTCCGCACTAGTGAGTACTACGACTATCCGCAGTACTATCCTAATAATTAGACCAATTCGTCAATTACGAGGAAAAAATGTGGTTCGGATTCCACAATAAACTGTA